CCAGAGAACACTGTACTTTAGCAACTCAACCAAATCATTGGACAAGAGCCCAGCAAGTCCTAGAAGGGCTGTACGTTAAACTACAGCTTCCATCTAGAAGTCATGATTTTCATTAGACGTTAGTTAACATTTAAAAATCACTTTGTAGAAACCTGTTTCTGGAGTAAATCTTCATATTAATAACCTCTACCACACTTACAGGCCTGAGTAAAATATATACAATTTCACTGCTAACACCTCCTTTAAAGACAGAATTAAGAAATCCAGAAAAGCTGTTATAGAGTGTTCCAGTCTAGAGTAAAGTATGAGAGGTAAGCAATGTTAGCAGATTTCACTTGTAATCAAATAATTACAGTTTTTAGACTTTCAGACCTTCAGACATGAAAGATCAAGTTAGTAGCAGAACTAGGAAACAAGTCAGATGCATAATATGCATTTGACCTGTGTAAGTACCATAATGCCTAAAGGCAGGTGTTAGGAACAGGAACACAAACTTAATTACTCCATCACTACACCTGAGACGTAAAAGGATAGCTATTCACCTGCAGAACTTTTAAACAAAAAAAAAAAAAAAAAGGGAAAAAAAAAGAGAGGCTAAAGTCTTACCTTCTTCATCAAGTCCACCAATTATGTTATAAACATAGTAAGGAAAGAAACGTCGGGAATACAGAATCGTAGACAGCATTGCTGCAATAGCCCCAGTAGTCATGGTCTTGTTATTGGAATGCTTGTACATCTGCAAATGGTACAGCACATCCAAGAAGAACGATTATTAACTATCATGATTACTGAAAACACACTGGTCTAAAAGCAAAGCCTTCTTACAAGCCAAAAATTAACATTTCTCCAAAGTTTTGAAAAGAATAGATGTTGCCTCATTAACATTATCCTCTCCAACTCTTCCATTCTTTGAATTTGTGATGTTACACTTAGTAAGAGCACAGCATCAATTTCCCCTGCCTGATCTTGCACTAGCAATACGGTTATGATATAAATACTTGAAGAAAAACAGCAAAAAATGTATTTAAAACTTATCATATTATTGGTCTCAAACATGATACTAATAATACAGGTTTCTAAATACAATAAAGATAGTTAGCTACCTTTAATCTTGCTTCAATAATTTTAGTAAGGGTAAGGCAGTCACCATGGAAACCGCTGCATCCAATGACCGTTTGTTCTGTTCTGTAAAATGTAAAATTTTGTTGTGATTTTAGATTTAGTATGAACTATACCACTTTTACACAGTAATTATTATGGAAACACCAAATGTATTTTCAGTTTCTCTAAGGCTATCAGAAACAGTTGTCTAAAGAGCAGTAACAGATATTCTGTGTATAAAAGGTAACCGCAACCTACATCTTGGAGAGGGCTCCTTACATGCAGGACCACACAGATGTCTGTCTTCAATCCTCTGACTTCCACATCAAGACTGACAAAAAGAAATTCTTAATTTCTTCATGCACCCCTAACTCTAGCTATTACCATTCAGTCTTGTTAGAGGATCTGTTTTGAGATAAGGAGCCTGTTACATCGTAGCACTCAGCCCAGTTCTACTCCACCTGGGCAGAGGACTGCCTAAAGATTGTACAATGCTTAAAGTAACATTTATGCTGCAGGTGGTTTTCTGTGTCAGCACAACAGAAGTTATCCGGCTGTGGATGCACTGGAGAAGGTTAGCTCTTTGCTTAGTTTCAAAACGTTTCATGAACACTAAGGGACACGCATTTGGAATTTAAATTCTAGTAAATTGGTGAGAATCTACAAATATTCACACATACTTACAGACTAACACAAAGCAGTCATTCAGAAAACAATTTAAATTGAAATCTTCTCTCAGTCTGTCACAAAAATTACAGAAAGTGATCATGTGCAGTATGCAGACTGAACCACAGTAATTTCCATTTGGACAGTATCAAAGATGTAGTAAGGAGTTAACCAGGAAAAACCTAAGTTCATATGGTCTTGTGCCATCAACAAATGAACCCACCATAAACAAAAATATTATTTACATAGCTGATGGCAGTCTACCTGGTACGCACCTGCTACACTCAAAAGAATGTAAACAATATGTATTTTTAAACCAAGGGGATGCTATCTAGGTGAGTCAAGATAAGCATAAAATGAGTATAAAAAGTTCAATAATGGAACTCTGACAGGTTTACCTCTCCTAAAACAAACACCTATTTGAAGTGCCAGATGGTTAACTAGAGAGACACAGTACGACTGGCAGCAGTGAGCACACTGGTGTACCAACACCAGGAGTCCTTGCAAAGCAGAACAAGTTACTGCAGCACTAAGTTTTGCTACAATTAAGATAAAAGTTCTTCTTATTATCAAGCCAAAAAACTACCTAGTTTACATTAAGCCTTGTATCATGCTAAAAACATTCTGTTATCAGCTAACTTCAAGAGCAAGCAACACGAAATCAGGCTGTATTTACATCATATCTTGCATTATAGCAAGAGTCACCATGACTCCAAAGTCAATTTTGTTACTATCCTTTTTCTTCCGACAATTCTGCTTAAAGAAAATGATGGATCATTCCAGGCAGGTGACATGCTCATCAATACCAGAGATCTTTGATTTGTATCAATTTTTATAAGATCTGGACTTACAGTTTGTAGCATTTTGGACTGTCCCGGCAGTGAATCGCATAATCTTCACTCAGTCGTGTGTCAGAGGCAACAACACAAAAGTCTTCTCCAGCAATCGCCAACACAGTCCTTAAAGAAGGGTATTCATATAACTGTGACTTTTAGCACAAACGTTTTCTTAGGCAACAGAGGAACTGACTAGATAGTAGTTCTATATCCAGACTCACATTTTCTCAAACATCTTATATTTCTTGCTATGTTTCCCACAAGGCACATCCCTACATGTGACTCAAGATTGGAGGAAAAAGATACCAGACACACTGAAGAAAATATACATCCATGAGTCTCTAACCGAAGAACTGTATGGAGAGTTGATAAAGCAGAATTTCTATACAATGCAAGAACCAGACTCAATGGACTAGCAATTTCAGTTGCCTGCTAATGAAAGATTCACCCTTCTAAACCAGTTTGGCTCTCCAAACAAAAACACTGCAGCCAAGTACTACGCATTAGTATCATTATACTTAAATTATCATTGCTTTGTTAATCTGATATTATCCTGTGTTATTTACTTCTAAATAACTAGTTTTGTGATTGCCACATATGTGCTACCATTAAGTAACAAACAAATGTCCTTTAAAAAGCAGTTAGGTATTATTAAAAAAAAATAAAAAACAACACTGTCTTGGCCAGATCCTGTCACCAACTCAAAGCAAGTGTCTGTAAAACATCACCCACCTTTAACAACTATGACAAAGTAGCTTTCAACCCACTTACACGTTTAAAAGCTGGTAATATGACCATTACATGGTTTTCCTGAGTCACTATAAGGAAACAACCCTGCGGGGAACGGAAGGTGCTTATTTTGATCGGTAAAAGTTCAGGGAGCCCGAGTGTGCCAAAAGCCACACGGACATGCAAGAACACCCAGAAGAACTGCAAGGACCCGCGGGACGCTCAGCCCAGGGGAAGGTCGAGCCCACGGCAAGGCCGACCCCAGCTCTCCCCCTTGCTGCCCCCCTTTCTCTACAAAGAGACGCTCGCAAGGGGAGACAAATCCTCAGAGTGCCGGGGGGAGGCAAAAATAAGACGAGGAAGACCCAGCCC